CTTTCCCTGCATGCACTGGATAGGATTTTAATCTGCTTTACTGAAGGTTGCCATTGCGTTTCATCATTTGGAGCCAGATGTTAATATTCATACTGAAGTTGATTAGTACCTTAGATCGGATTGAAATTAATGAGATTTCAGTTCTCTACTCCTCACACTGAAAAGGGGGGAGCATTTAGCTCCCTTTCAAAGCACTTTCAGAACTAGGGATAAAAGAGGTAGTGGAGATCTAAACAGGTCTGATTTTTGGAGTGGCTGTTACTGTGCTGTCTGATTTGTAGTGTAAATTGATCTACACAATGACCAAAAATGAAGACAATTTCAGACAATCCAGATAACTTACCTCAGTCACCATAGTTAGTCCCAGAAGATAGCTAAGGAAACATACTATAGCGATGAAGATTTCCCGTCGGTAACCCTTCCTTAGGAAGGATGGGTGCAGATCAACTAATGACGTGATCTGTCCTTCAACTTCAACAAACTAGAGAAACAAATGCAAACAAAGTGACTCAAAACATACCCACTACGCATAAATACCCAGAGGAAGGGAGAGCTCACTTGGCCAGGCCCTGCCTTTCCCCCAGCCAGGTTCTAAGCTTGCAGGCGTCACTCCCGTTCGCTTTTGGACCCTACCCAAGGCAAAAGCACCAAGTTCACTGAAAACATGAGGGTGTCAAGGAGAGCCAAGGCAGCCTCTGTGGAGCTGACCTTCACTTTCAGCAACTAAATTATCTTACGATCAGCTCTTTATCACAGGGTGTTTATGACGCAGCGTTCAAGACAAGATATCTTTTTCTATCCGCTATCTAGATTGCTCTTGAAGTGCCCAGAAGTCCCCTGTAATAACTATGTCCATTTGACTTGGAGCTGAAGTCCTGTTTAGGAATGACAATCCATTCTGCAAATAGGTCACCAGATTTTGTTGTCCTCTATCTTGTTACTGTGACTTCTGAAACTGGCATTTTTTTTTTTTAATGCAATCATTTCCTTTGGTCTGATTTGATCTTAAACCGCTCTGGCATTCCAGAAACCTGCTTGACTGCACTCCGAAAACAACAAAGAAAAGAGGATTGGAAGAGAGAAATTAAGCTCTCCAATTAGTTTTAATCATTCTACGCAGTCGGAAGCTTTTTAAATTTACTAGACAGCTTCCAATTTGCCAAAGTACAGCGTTGCTGAACAACAGTTCTGGGCACTTTTATATTCATTTTGGAGAGATTTAAAGGAGCTCACTGCAGTTCAAAAATTAAGTCACAAAGAGCAATTTAGGACAAATGGAATATCAAAAATGTAAGACAAGTGCACAACAAATGGGTAAAAATCCATTTGCAGAGCTCTCTTCATATGGGAGAGGATTTAGACTAAACAAACATTTTGCCCCTGTCAGTGGAGTTTTAGTAATGCTAGTTACTTTCCATTTGAGTGCAGAAAGCTGCCTGTTGCCCCCCCCAAATCAAGCAATTTCAAACACGTGGTCACTGCATAAACCTTGGTCACATCTGCTTCCTTGCAAGTGGACTATCTAGAAATGATTTACAGGGTCCTTTTGTGCTATTTATTCCAACATTCCTTCAAGCAACCACTGGGAAAAATAGCCTAAATCCCTGAACTTTTCATTTTTTCCTTGCTCTCCAGTTAACTGCAGTGTGTGATTAGGACGGTCGGAGCCGTATTGGAGAGCCAGCAGGATGCCGAGTTGCTCAGGGTCTCTGAGAATTGATGACAGAGGCTACTTTTTTTTTTTTTTCCCCTCTACCAGGTAGTGAAGTTACCCCAGATGTACCCCTCAAATCTGTGCTTTTTGCACCTTCTAAATGACTTTGCTTTTATTTGGCACTTGGCAGCCATCAGTGCTTGCATTCCTACTTATTATTATTTACAGTGAGTGTTAATGAAGGTGGTCACCCAGCTGATTGCAGAAAGCACCCTATGGATTTCTGCAATCTGTCCCATGTTTCAAGCAATAACCCCCATCTCTCGTACCCAATGCACTCACCTGGCTATCCAGTCCAAGCAACAGAAGCATAATAAAGAAAAGGATTGCCCAAAAGGTGGGCAGCGGCATCATGGACACGGCTTTCGGGTAGGCGATGAAGGCCAGGCCTGGACCTAAAGGAGAAAGAGAAAATAGGGAAGGGGGAAGGGAAGGGGAGAGAACTAGTAAGTACCAGCTCTTCGGCAGAGGGAGGGACACTCAAATGCAGGCATGCCTGGTTCCGTTCAGATAAATCCAAACGCGGCTGGAAATACCAGAAGTGAAACAGTTTGGCTCTTTTATCTGAAAACGAAGCACGCATGACTACAGCAGAAACCACAGGCAACCCCCCGAGGCCACAGCTAACAGACGGCCAGTTTTAACATCTGTCTCAAACATGCCCGTAATGGGTCTGCTCCTAGGCCTGCCCCGCGCGGATGCAGCGCCGGAGCGGGGCTGGGGGGGACGAGGACGGGGGGATCGCAGGGGAATGGCAGAATCCCATCGCTAGCCCCCATGAGCACGATGAAGATGATGATGATGAAGCTCTCTTGCATGCAGGGAAGGGGCTCTGCTCCAAAGGCAACCTGGGATGGGCACCTCCGTGGACGTGGCCACCTCCAAGCTCTGCGTGTGTTTTGTAGAGGGGTAGGGGGGAGACAGGCAACCCCTCTGCAAACCCTGTGGTGAAGCAACGGGCTAGTCCTAGCACCTGGGCCTGGTCCCTGGCAAAGCGCCTCCACGCTCCGCACCTCCTGGGGCCGATACTCAAGGGAAAAACCAAATCTCTGCCCCCCGCGGACGCGGCTGCTGCGCCACCGTGACCTGAGGTGGCACCAGTGCCACGGCCCGTAACATGGCCTCATCTAAGCGGGGGGGCGCTGGGGTGCCCCGGCCCGATGCACAAAACCCTCGGGCCCAACTGCCGGCACAAGGCCGGTTCCGGAGCAGGTAGCAGCTCCCAACGGCTGCGCACGGAGCCCCCGGGGCTGCGGGACCAGGGACCCGGCCACCGCTCCCGGCAGCATCTTGCATAAAGAGCCCTCTCCAAACGGGCCACCATGTAAGCCTGGGAACATCTCTTTTCCTTTCTTTTCCTCTTTTTTTTTGGTTAAAAAACCTTGAAAACTAGCACTTTCCATGCCTTTTAAGCAGATTTAGATAAAACTTTGTTTTCAATGAGGGAAGGAATTTTGCTTTCTTAATGTCTGCAGTGCGGGGCCTGAACTCTCCTCCTCTAACCTGTACGGAAAAAATCTCTAAAGCTGCTCTTCCTACCTCCCACTTTTTTCCTTTTCAACAAGGAAGATTAAAAAAGAGAAGTAAGAGGGAGAAATAAAAAAAGAAAAAAACTTTTTTTTCAAGCTAAAGAAAACTTTAAGTCACTGAAAATGCTTGAACAGAAATAAATACAAATTAGCCAAACAATCGAGCAACTACTTTTATTTAAAATGAGACTACGATTTTTATACGACAAACGATACCAAAATAAATTGGTGGGTGCCTAAAATTTGTGGGGATTTGGCCTCCCCACCCCGTCCCAATCTTTGCTGAGACAGATGTAAAACTGCTGCCCTCCATAAACCCCCGGAACTGCTGCATGCTTCACCCGGGGACGTGTCCTTGTGCTAAGGGCCCTGAGCTCTTGCTAGCTTTAATTTTCCTTTGAAACTAACAGTTGGAATATAATGGGAAAACAGAAACGTTTCTGGCAACGCCATGAGCGAACATAAGGAATTTAAAATGATACTTAATCTGGACTTGGTTGCTCAGAAAGATTTTTTTCTTCAAATCTGAAGCCCCATTAAAAGCTCTTAAAAGGATTCCTGAAAATGCTAAAAGTGCTTTTTTTAAAAAAAAAAAAAAAAAAAAAAAAAAAAAAGACAGTGCTGATTAAAACCATCAGGAGGGACTGAACACGCTGCGAGGCGGTGGAAGGAGGTCGGTCCTCCCTGATGTTGCAGCCACCTCCTCACCCTTCCCTGACGTTTTGGTTGGGGACGGCTGTGACTCTGCATGACCCAAACCCACGTGCGCTCAGCACCGGGGGAGGCAGCGAGTGAAAATGCCCCGGGACCTGCTGGGAGGCCTTGGGCAACATTCCCTGTCATGGCAAAACACCCCTGGGGCTGCAGCCAGAGCAGCTGCGGGTTCAGGTATGGGTACCCTCTGGCCAGCTGAGATGGTTGCAATTTCTGGCCATTGCCAACTAGGGCTGAATTTAAATCCTCAAATTGCAAATCCTGAAGGGATCAACAAGGAAATGTGCAAGGAGGCAAAAAACAAGTTCTGAAACTACGCAGCGCCCTTGCTGCCCCAGGTATAAAATTGGGATTGTGTCAGTCCCCTTCGAAAAATGCTTTTTGAGCTGTTAATGAAAAAATGCTCTGTAAGCACCAAATTCATTTGTTAATTTGTATTTAAACATTACTTAACAGTGCAGGGTTACTAATAAATTATTTACTTTAAAAAATAATGCAGTATTACTGTGAAATTATTTAATTTACCAAATGCCAAGCAACAGGAATGCAGCTGCCTGCTTATCAGTGGATTTAACTAATCAGAATTAGAATAAATATTGACCAGAAAAAAACATCAGTGTGTAAATACTTAAAAACACTACCCTTGGAATCAATCCATCTACATATTAAAAAAGTGGGGCTATTTACAATTCATTCAGTAGGATTATTCCCTTGCTTCCTGTGCTCAAACAAAGCAATCAACCTCTGATCAAAATAATCATTATGGCCAAGAGACTAATTGCAATTGCAAGAGGTATGCCAATTTTAGCCACCCAAGAATCCAGCAGTGCCACCAGCGTCATTAGTTTTTCATTAGCCCTTGTAATGTGAGATATTTTTCATAAAGACTTCACTCCTGGAGTCATATGATTAGAAGACATATCATATTCATTCTGTTCTTTTTTAATTCTATTTTAAATTTTTTTTCAGAGAAAAGCTTACAAGTACTACGCAGGTGAATTATAACTGCTCAAAAAAATCAGAAAGAAATGCTGAAAGTGCTCTGCAGTGACATTCTATGAATTTGATTAGCTCTAAGCCTGTCTTGTGGCTGTTGAAGCCTGACCGGTTAGTTTTGAATTCCTGGGGTTGGAAATGCCCATCTACGCTGTCTGCTCACCCTTGAAAACACATTGCTACACCTGCCCTTATGGATAAGACAAGCACAGAAGAAAAATGTCATCTATAGTTTCTGAGATATATTTACACACATGCTGTGAGGATTTAACCTCCTTCAGCTGCATGTGCTGGATATCAAGGGCAAAAACACATTCTGCATCAGGAAAGACTATAATATATAGCCCACTTCAGAATGGACCTCTCACCACAATATCAACCTTACCCCAAAGCTACATAAAGGCAGGATTGCAACAGCCTTATTGCAAATGAAATGGTTCAGAACCCAAGAGAACTGGTTCTCCAGCTTCTCCTGCCTTTCAGTGAGACTTGGAAGCATGTGTCCCTTCAGGAGGCCAAGAATATTCCCTCTGTGAGCAAGTGAAACTGAAGCTACAAAAAATTCATAAATACTGGCTATTTGCATCTGAGTGAAAATAAAGGTAGTCTGACAAGAAGGATGGAATAAATTTCCTAATCAATGATGTTTCTGGGCCCTAGATAATGGTGCAGCTAACGCTAAACTCAACTGACAACGATTAACCCCCTGTAGGAAGCATGCTAACTGCCCTGTTAATCAAGAAACAATAAACTAGATAGCCCCAGCTAACCATCATTGCTCTAGATGCAAGCCCAAATCAACAGGTGTGAATGTGCTTATTTTTCTGGAGATTATGGGAAATCTTGTTCTGTTTTTATTGCTTAGATGTTAGCTGATTGAGTCTGCAGAACTTTGCTCACACGCTAGGCGGCAGTGCCCACCACCACTGCCACCAATACCATCGTACCTGACTCTGCCACATCAGCAATGTTCACCCCTTGCTCTTGTGCCATGAAGCCCAGGACGGAAAAAATTGCGAAGCCAGACACAAAACTGGTACCACTGTTCAGGCATCCCAGCAGCAAACAGTCCCTAAGTCACACATATGTCATGGAGCAAGTTAATTAAAAAAAAATTAACCCATTGTCCCTACTTTATTTACATCATTTAGCTAAAACACTAAACCCCCTTGGATGGAAACTTGCCTATAGCAGTTGTATTTGTACTTGTTGTAGCTCCCCAGGGAAGTCATTGCTCCTAAGCAGATTGCATATGAGAAGAAGATTTGTGTCCCTGCATCTATCCAGACCTAAAGGGAAGATAAAGGATTGTTACTACAGGCATCACTGCAGTGCAACACCCACCACAAACACACAATTCAAACTATGCAATACCAACAAAATACTTGCTTCCACTGAGAATGATAGCTATAGGATCAGGAAGGAAGGGAAAGAAAACATCACATTTACAGATTTATCTTTTGTTGGACAGGATCAGGAAGGAAGGGAAAGAAAACATCACATTTACAGATTTGTCTTTTGTTGGAAAAGAAAATTATTAGCCTAAGAGCCCACAAGAACGTCATCTCTTCATTAGTCCCAGTATCCCCTCCCCAGAAATGTTCAGTATTTCTAGTGTCTTAATCATTCAACTGATTCTTCTTGTTGACACAACAATAAATGTATTCCAGTGCTCTAGGAGATGCAGTAAAATAGAATCAGCCTACACAGTCACTGAACTGACAATATGGAGAAGCTTGAGAAACAGGGGTTTTGCTTTTTTTATTTTCTTTTTCTCTTTTTTTTTACTTTCTTGTCATTTTTCTAACTATTGAAATGCAAGAAAAAAAAAAGACATAGGAACTGGGGAAAAAGCAACCAAAACACAGTGCTGATTATCTCATCTCAATCTCATGATTCTTTCAAATATACATATATATAAAAAAAAAACAGAAAGATATAGTATTAAACCATGAACCTCTAAGTTCAGAAATACATAATAAGCCATCAAATTCATCCTTTCAGTCTATCTATTCACAACTTTTTTTCTGCGAATGTAAGTCTGCTAAAGCCAGTGGAAACCAGAAAGAACATCTGAGTAAGTGAGAATTGAGATTGTAGACCCGCATATACTCCCTTTCACTATCATTTTTCAGGACCCTGATGACTAGTATCTCCTTGGAGATGAAGCTTTTATTGGATTGTCCAAGACAGACTAAAAAACGCACTATGGGAGAGTGTCCTGCCAGCTCATGTGAATCTCTTCTACATTTATCAGCTGTCACTCTGGGCTTAGGGCTAAGGGCAGATCATAAAAATGATAGAGTCCCATAAAATTCCCATAAAAAGATGCATTCATAAAATATGTCTCATATAAAGAGGGTGTCTTCTATAAACAGGGTATGACTAGAGAATCAACCAAATTGCCACAATGTTTCTTTCAGTTATGCTTGCCCTACTTCAGTTAATTAGGAATAACTTTTTGTTTTAACCTAATACCCATTAGAAAGAAGTATAAAAAAAAAAGACATTACTCTCGGGCAGACTAACATCTAGTTATCTTAAAAGATCTGTTCTTTACCCTTTTTTGTGTTGTATTGTTTTTCATTTCTCATGTGATCATTCGTTTCTGAAGCGATGCTGATATGTTGAAGTGTTACTTTGGATTTTTATCTATTATTTATTTGGATCTTCATCTAATCAAAGCCTACATGGAAAAGGAAGCCTAGGTCCCACTAGCCAGTATGAAGCAAATCTTCCCTGCTGTGCTTCGGAAAGCATTTGTCTTCATCTTTGCATGGGTTTTCATTCTATGATTTCATTCCTTTTTTCCCCCAATCTGTTCCTTCTGAGCAATGGGAACTAAGTGACACTGATACTCACAGTTGTTGCTTGATGTTCCATCTGTGAAGCTCGCATTTCTCTCCTTTGAAACTAAAGACTATCCTCCTTAAAAAAATGTATATCTCCCTTACCTTACCAACAAGAAAGCTGAGATTCTATAACGGGACAGAGTCTACAGCCTCAGAGTCCTTTGACACAAAAAAATACACACACACGCATACACACACACACGTACACATGGAAAGATGCATTAACACATATAACAGTGATCTTTTAAAGCAGATACTCTGGAAAATATGACCAAGCATTAAATTTCATGCTATATTTGCACCCCTAAAGATCACGGAAAAAATCTAGTGCCGTGACGTCACCCCCATGCTATCCATCTTGTTTCAGAAATCAGCCCGTTCCCCTTTCCTGGTTCGGTACCTGTGGATCAGCTAACCGTGAGATATCAGGATAAAGATAAAACTTGATGCCTTCTGCAGCTCCAGGCAGGGTCACCCCACGGATTAGCAGAACAAGGAGCATGAGGAATGGGAACGTGGCAGTGATGTACACAACCTGGCAATACAAAGAAACACTATGTTTAGTCTGTGCTGGTTGACGCTACAACTCCACAATCAGAAGAGATCTAATGACTGGAATTCAAAGTCCCCTCATACCTAAAAAGGACCCGACCTGAGTTTCTGCTTGTTGGGGGCTATTTTTAGTGTAATGCTCTCTCCCACTCGCAATTGTTCTCCTGGTTCCAAGCTCAGCCAACACAGCATGTTGCTTAGGGCCTTAAGATCAAGCAGTTTCATTAATCTCCCCTGACCTGCCCCGAGGAAGACGTTATGTCATTCAGGCACAAAACACAGAGGGTTTTATACAACTCACGACTTCAAGGAGAAGTTCTGCCTTGGCCCTACATGTTCTCCTCACATTACAAGCACACCTTTGCCAGTGAAGCTGGAGAGATTCCCGCACCAAGGCTGCCAGAAGCACTACCTCACTCTTCACCTGAACCTAAAACCTGTAAGGTGTCTCGCAAACCATCTGCAAGGCCCTGCAAGCCTTCCCCAGGGAGCACGAGCCCCCAGAGGTTCGGCTGTGCGGGGGATTTCCTCACCGGAGGGACTCCGGTTGTTTTTCTCCAGCTGCTAACCCCGCACCTGCAGTGAAGCCTCACAAACACCCTATCTATCAGCACCTCCATGGGACACTTCTGTTAGAGATGAAGGGAACCCTGTCCCTTCCCCTTGCCTTGAAGGCATTAAGCTCTTCAGGTTGGCAGCGGCCTCGACAGTGGTAATCTCCAGTCCATAATTTTATTCTTGCCTTTTATTCAGCAACATCATTACTGAAAACTAAGGTTCTATTCATCTACTTTTGAGAATATGTCTTAATTATCTTTAACCTCTATTCCCTCTGTCTGTGAATAACAGCCTACTTCTTTATCCTGCTTTCTTTTCGTTCAGTTGATGAAAGAGTCCTTTGCTTTAATCTCGAGCGTGGGGGTTAATTTAGCTTGGCTTTGGACAGTTCTATCTTTAGACCCATACTTTTTGACCTCTAACATTTTGTTGTCCTTGTTCATCAGAGCTTTTTCTCATTTTTTATATAATCGCTGTGTTACAGTCACGAATAACTACCGTGCAAGAAAGGGTTTTTTTACGGAGTCAGATGATCCCCTCAGGTAATTATAGTTCGCTGCCTTGAGTTAAAATATATTTTTGTTTTTCAGAATTTGTTTAACTACAGTAAAGCTCCCAGGATGCATCATTTTTCTTTTTAAGTGTGTCCTCTGAGAATAACCAGGAGGACTCAAAGCCTGCATTGCCATAATAATTCATGGAGCCAAACTGATTTCATAAAATGAAAAGAAAGCTTTTCATAAAAATCCTTTTCAATTCCCTTCCTGTGCTTTTTGTGTATTTGCCACTGACAAATAACACATATTACACATTTGTCCAGTTTCATCAAAAACTGAAGGATAAAAGGGAAAATTCTGTGCTTTCTAATCTTTTTGGTTTTTTTTTACATATAATTCCGGCCTATGAAAAATAAAAGTTTTCTTTTAAGAAAGATATGCTTGCATGTATTCATAGTACCTGGGTAAATTCCACCTACAAAATGGACTTTTCGCTGCAGGCAAAAATTCCCCTGTAGCTCTGGAAGAGATTTTCGGATCAAGCACATTATCCAAAAAATAAGCACAACTCTTTTTTTCTTCATTATTTTGGGTTTATTTCCCCAATATACTACTACGAGATGTAAAAACTATGCCTCCTGTTGTTTTGGTTTTTTTTTTCCTGCTCTCCAAAGAGTTATTAGCACGCTGGAAAGCAGGGCAGTGATATAAACAATGATCTACTAAAGTAAACTAGACTTCTCAAATAATTCAAGTCCTCCATTAGAGTTTACAGTTTACTTTTGTATGACCCCAAAGTTAATGGAGTCAACCAGAGACTTTCCAATGGTTTCACTGGGTTTTGGCTCCATCCCCTAATGATCCCAGATACCGTGGAAAGGAGGCTGTGAATTTCTGACTATCTACCTTGTCTAAGTACAATTTTGTCAGGTTTCTAAAAGATAAAAATCGTTAGATAAGTGATTCTAATTCATTTTGTCGCGTTCACAGGAGCCTGCAATAACATACCCTATGGAACCTGGGAAATCTCTTGGAATTACCTTAACTTTCTTTGTCAGGCAGACCCCATGCTCACAAAGTGTACTGCTGAAACAGGCCTTTCCATTCTGCTGTGTGGGAGATTTAGTGTGTTCTCCTTCGCTATAAAACTTGTACAATCTCCTCAACGGGTCACATCAATCAGTAGTCACAGAGAATGCAAACATTTTTGTCAGTGTGTATACTTAAAGGTGTGGAAACTGTTCTCCGGGGCAAAAACCAGCAGGAAGGCACAATAAAGCACCAGCCTGATTTTAATGAGGCTCCATGAGAAAACCACAAAAAAAAAAGGCAGAAATGATAGTGAAAGAATTAATTTAGTGAACAGGAGAACTAATGAGATACGGTTTCCTATGGAGTTCTGTCTCCTGGTTGATTCCCCAAGATGCAGCAATGTATGACTGGAAAATGATGCCCTTTTTTTTTTTTTTTTTTTTTTTTTTGCAGCTGAGGCATTCACAGTTTCTCTTGTGAGCTCTCTGGGATGTAGCAAGGGTTCACCCTGTGGCCTTTTTTTTCAGCTGGGACACTAATAGGGTTGCTCGCTTTTACCTAGTTGACAAGAAATTTGTGGGAACTTAATATCCTGAGGTCTGTCTAACTGTCAAATTTTTCTGAAACATTGACTCAACAGAACTGAAAGTTAAGTCACACAAAAATGCAATGACTTCAAAGGCTTTGTCTTCTCACAAAACTAGGCCTAAGAACATTAGTATATCCAAGGGGGAGTAATACCATGCTTCATATTGCTAAGTGACTGGCCAAGATTTTCTGCAATTTGCTACTTGTACTGGCATAGTAGTAGTGGCAAAACCACTCAAATTCCTCTTTTATTCAGTGCAAAAATAAGCATTTTTCCAATGGCATTACCTAGTATTCATGACATCTGCTAACTCTTTTACTGCAATGATTATGGAAAGGGTAAAAGAGCACTTACTTTCCCAGTGGACTTGACTCCTTTCCAAATGCAGAAGAAACATATCACCCAGACAAGGAGGAGACACAATGCTAGATCCCACTTGATAATACCGATATCTTCAATTCCCGAGGACAAGCTCAGTACATTGCGCCTAAATATTTGAAATGAAAGAAAGCAAGAGAGAGATGCAAGAGCTCGGTTAGTTCAGATTCTCATTAGGATCTCTGCAAGTATAACACTGCATTTATGACAGCAGATGCACTGGTAGATCCCAGCCCTTTGAATGCTTCCTGACTAAGTTAGTGCTGCTTATTTGAGTAACATGAAGCTCCTCAAGATTGAGCCCCAGCTCTTCCCTCTTCTTCCTGCTACTGTACTCCACAGCATTTAATTTTAAGCTCTTCCTAGAAGTGGAAGATCACCTGCGTATGAGCTAAGCAAGCATGCTCAAAGCACTGTGACTACCATTCTTGCTCCCTTTGGTGATGCAAAACCAACATGCCCTGACATCCTTCCAGACCTGGTTCTGAAGCCACGTGGCAGCACTGCACACATCATCTCCATCACAGATGTTGGGCACTAGCTTGTGCCTGTGCATTTCTCCTCCTTTTCAGCTCACTGTCATGGCTTATCACAATGAGGAACGAGAAAAAGCAGGGTACGAAATCACACGGGGTGGTTTTGCAGTGCAAATTCTGCATTTGAGATGAGCTCTGTTGTTCTTCCGCCTTCTCTGATTCTTTGTAATCTTCTTCATGTGAAGAAGTGACTTTGCAATGTCACTTCACTAATACATAAGAAGAGATTCCTATTGTAAGATAGGTCTTAGGGGGGCAAGACCTGACCCGAAATGTGCTCCCCCAAACTACATTAACTTGCTACCTAACAGTTAGGCAATTTGCTGGCAAATACAAAAAAGATCAACAACTCTCCTTCACCTACAGGAATGGAGTGCAAAGCACGTATCAATAAATACTAGCTAATGAAATTGCCAATGGAAAATTTGTGATTAGTTTGGGGGAAAGAAATCCTGAAAGTGAATGGTCAAACCTTCACCCATCTGTTTTTTTTTTGTCACTGGTTGGCAAATTTACTCCCATTACTTGAATGTCTGAACATGTTCTCACCCCAAATGCTTTACTCTGCTTGTGTGTTTTGTTATGGGGAAGAACTAATGGCACCAGAGAGAGCAAGTCTGCCCTAATCTGCACTGCTAGTCAATAGCAGAAATCCCTCACTAATGCACATGGAATAAGGTTGCAGTTCTGGCTCACCTGAACCTGAAGAAATCAGAGAACAACCCACTGTGCATACACAAAAGAAGAAAATACCTTTATAAGACAAACCTCAGCTGTAAACTTCTGGGTGTTCTTTAAAAATAAATAACAACTTTTCAATCTAAGGGGTAGTTCCTATAAACATGTAAAAGGTAACCCATAGAGCTTGCTCTCAGGAAGCAATGAATAATTCACTGCAGAAGTGTTTTAAGTAGGGAGACCCATTAATGCATTTACCTGAGACCTCTTCGATTTTTATTGGAGAACTAAAAGCATATGGTCATCTCACCTAGGGATGCACCCTACCCAGCTTTCTGAGAGGCACCCCAGTGGGTTACTAGAAATGCTACTTCTCAATGCCAGGGCAGCAAGGGCATTAGGTGGTGTGTGGGCTTTCTCTGTTCCATGTTATCCCATCTCCCAAAAGCAAAACACCTTAAGGGACCTGCTCAGACTTTCCAGCAGAGCCTCAGTGTTAAGATTATATTGCAAGATCTAAACTAATGTATTTTTGCAGCAGAACTGCTCTAACCGGATACCCAGAAAATTCAAGCCTAGGGGGAGCAGGAGCTGGGCTATAATAACAGCTTTTTGTTTTTGTTGCAAAACTCACTACTATACAGGTTCAATGAAGCTCTCTTAGCTAACTCCACATCTTTTCTGCATGAAGTTGTTATTAATTATAATTTATAGTAAACACACTGTCACTAGTTGTCACTCACAGGTAAAGAATGGGACAACAGGTTGAGGCTGAGTTCGTGGTAAACAAGAATTTTTGAGCCTTGTTAATACACTAATGTGCTCTCCTAATGTGGAATATGAAAACGTAATAGGAGCTGCAACTGGCGCTAGAACATAAACAAAAATAAAATGAGGAGAGTTACACAATCCTTGAAGGATATTCCAGCTCATTAATCAAGTGAATGCAGACAGGCCCCTTCGTACCAGGAGAGGCGAAGCACGCTTCAATGTTGACAAAAACTAATAACTAACGCGGAAGCCGTATGTACCAGGGGCTACGACAAGGGCCTGTGAAGTGATTTTTCTATGACAAGGGGCTGTAAAGTGATTTTTCTAACCCTCGGGTTCGCCCTCAAAGGCAGGAACAGCTGCCCCAGTTTGTGTTTAGTTTCTGTGTGGTTCCCTTCAGGATTACATGCCAGTAGCATGTGATGGTCTTTCTTGGGATTTGGACGAATGAAGGCTGCTGATTACCAAATATTTATAAACACTTGGCCAGCATCAGACAATAAGAGGTTTTGTTTAATCGTAATTACCCCATAACACTTATCCCTTATGTATTAATATGTGTGTAAGCCTTTAAGGTTTTGAACTTTAAATAAAATCTTAAGAAATAAAACCTGAAGCATGTGATGCCAAGAGGTAAGTCTCCTGATACAAAGCCAGATTTGCTTAACCCCCTTTATTGCTGCTCAAGCAAGCATGTGATTTGCACAGAACATTAGTTCAAATGAACTCAAATATCAGGCAGGACTATATGTGCAGCCAGGCTGGGAAGGACAGGCGTTATCCAGCATGAAGAGGTTAATGCTTCAAATGTGGTGAATTATATCTGTGCAGGGCTAGCTTTACAAAACAACACGGGTGAGGAGACTACATAAATCACGCACAATGAGAATGGCGTTGGGTTTCAGAAACCAAGTACTCCCAAACCCCTGAATTAAATTGGAATTAATTGTGCCGCAGGGCAGATGGATATCTTTGGTTTAAGACTGTTTATTGACATGTCCTTTCATTGTCTAAGAAGGCAAAGTAGCTGAAAGTGGGTATCTTCCTGAGACTTTTGGATACATTAAGAATAGTAGCATGGCTGGGGAAAACTGAGAATACCAAAAGCTTCTGCCTTGTGAAATCTTGCTTTAATTACAACAGTGGTGCATGATCCCTGTTCTTACTTTAAGACACCAGCAGTTGTTTATGTAGAGAGAACAGTTATTTTTAATACTTCTGTAAGTGCCATGTGTTCTCAGGGCAGTTTGTTTTGTTAAGGAGAATTTACTCATGATGAAATGGTGATCTAAAGACTGTGCCTGTGGTAGTAGTAGTACGGAGCCAAACTTCTCCCTGGCGTAATTCCAGGGAAGAGTTTAGTTCATAATGTTTAAAACTGCTCTTTGAGGACAAAAGTTAAGGAAGCTGCAAAGGGCAAGGAGAGCTGGGCCCATGAGCATTAATCACTGAGGAACCTTTGCTCCAACAGTACTAAAAAACAGCGAGCGGAAATGGGGAAGGTGGAGGGAAGGGAATGGCACTGCCAGGACCAGGATTTCTTCTCCAGTCTTAGGCACCTTACTCTGCATATTAGGCTGTGTCTGAAGGGGATTTGTTCAGTTTGCAGAGAAATGTTGCGGTCAGAAACTAGATTTCTTTCAGAGGAAATTAAAATAAAAGCTCAACCCCTGCGGGGACATCATGCCCCAACCCATGGAAGGGCCGTTCCGCTATGAGCCCCTCCACCATGTACCCACCATGCCCTTACCCACAGGTAGCTCTGGTATCCCCACAATGTCCCTGAGCCCCCGTTCATGGGTCTCACAGGATACAGAGGGCCACGTACCATGGATTTCCCTGCTGCCCCTGCCGCAGCCCTCTGCTCGTTCTTGCTCCCGTGCTGCTCCCCCGTCTCTCAGTGAGTTTCTCCATCGTTCACTTCCATCTCCACCTGCCCTACCTTCTGCTACCCTCCCGCCTTGCTAAATCCCTGTTCCTTTCATCTTTCATAAGTCTTTTGCTGCAACTGTAACTCTGTAACAGAGCAACTGTACAGCAGCACTGCAGACCTGTGCTGCTTCTGGATGGCTTGAGGAGACCTCTGAGCATCCTACCAAGCCAACCACTGATTTGTATTCAATGACCTTGGTCCCACGGTCACTGTGGGAGAATCCAAAGGAAGGAAGAGTGTTAAACTTGCCTTTAAGTTCCCACCAAGTGCCCAACGATACTATTCAACAAATCTTTTTCAACTCCCTCCATATTTACAAGGGAGGAAAACACCTGGGAAAGGATCTGTCATTCTAGTGCTTGGGGCTCAGGGAAAATAATTGCTTGAAGAGCCTGTACTTTGTCAGTCACAGCAGTCATCAGTGCACTTCAAAAATCTAAGACCATTTCTGCATTTTGTATTTTGGCTCTCGTGTTACAAATTTTAGCACAATTTATAAGATTATTTTTTCTAAACCTAACTCAGGCCAAATATCTTCAGCATGAACTTCCTGCTGCGGCTACTGGCTGACATTTATTTTTTAAAATAGAGAAGTAGGTACAAGTTGATCAGGGAACCAACCTGGATTTTAACCATGCTGAAAAAGCCAAGCTGGGTTAGAATCAAATTCTACTCTTAACTGGGCCAAGAAAAAAAAATATATTTACTTCCTAAGCTATCTATAGCTACTTTGGATACAGGTTTCCTTAAAGGTATCTTCCTCCACTGCTATGTTTTGACACCTACATCAACACCTGGAGATTTGAGGTCGTGCTTGTTCAGAAATCAAGTTACACAATACAGTTTAAAGCTTGAGCTATAACAGAGAAATGGGAATAAGATGCTTGGGCCTGATGAAATCCAGACATCTGGCAAAACAGAGAAAAATGATGTAACAAAAACGACCTGAGAAACTTACAATATGGGACAATATTCAACACCTCTGTCAGCTTTCTCTGAGAGGCCATTGCCTTGCATTTTGGTCAGCCTGATGAGAGATGTGCTATAGCTTCACAAACTATTTTTAAAATGCTAATAGCTGGGGAAGAAAAGAAGTAGTGGCAACCATGGAGCTGGCAGTTTGTTTCCACTCTAAATCCCTACTACCAGGGCTTTTGTAGCAGACTTGTTCCTATTCTAATGCTTGATTTAGAGAATAAGCTTTGCTTCAAAAATGAAAAAGAAATCGCTGTGAGCTCTTATAGCTCCCTCTTTTCTCCTGGCTGAACGCAGTTATACATTTAACACTTTCCTTCACTACTTCCAGGCTTATCAGTCTGTTTTAGTAATGGTAATAAATGGTAGGAAAAAAAAAAAAAAAAAAAAGGAAAAAGGTCAAACAATTGACATCCAGAGCATTGTTTTTCCTATTTAAAATTCCCCATGGCTCCTCAGGAAAATCTCAGCCATGTGACAGGAGCATCCCAAAAGCACAACAAAACCAGGTGCACTTACTCCCAAAACTCAGTGACAGGAGAAGTGAAGTTAGTGGCATTCAGTGATATCCAGAGAGTTTTGTTCTTCCTGAGAGTGTCTTCCACACAGGTCGGCGTGTTCCACTTCTGGTGACAGTGCGCCCAGGGCAGGACGCTCTGGAACGACTGGAACAGGTAGTAGAGTCCCCAAGCCAGGATGACGATGTAGTACACGTTCAGAAGGGACACAATCACTATGGAAGCATAACCAATTCCTGTCGAAAGTGGGGGGGGGAAAAAAAAAAAGAAATATGCACCTACGTAACAGCCACTTGATAGGATGTCTTGTGATCTCAAATAGTTGGTGCTCTTCCCACTATTTCATGGACTTTGGTCCTGCTCTACCACTCGGTTGCTTGAAAGTGAACCCAGTTCAATAGGCCATATACCCGAAGCACAAACCTGCCACCATCTCTGACTAGTACTGGCACTTTGGGCTGAATTTCCAAGCTGCGGTTTGCTGAGATTGGAGGGGAGGTTTGCCAGAGACATACCCAATCTCACCCAATCCAGGTATTTACATTTTTATTGGAGGGAAGTCAAGATATCACGCTTTGCTCATGTGAGAGCTGCTCCATCTCGCATGGTGGGGGTCTAAATGGGCAATGCCATCCTTGCAGCCCCTCGTAGCTTCCTTCGAGGCAGCATGACTGTGCAGACTTAGACTGGCTTGGCTCAGCGTAGTGCAAAACAGGCCAGCTCTCGCATGAGTTCAAAAGGAAAATTCCAGAGCTATCAACATGAAAGCTAGTTTCTGCCCCAATTTCACTTGTGCAAAAGAAGCATAATATTTGTAGCTGTTACAGTTAATTAGATCAATGTTTAACTCTGCTATCAATATTTGACAATAAAAAAATGTTCCCTGTTTGTTTTTAAAAGCAGGGTCATGGGCTGATAAGGCCAAGTCCTACACAATTTAGGGAGCTGCTGGAATGCTGCTCCAGAGAAGGCTTTCACTGAATGCCAAAACTCTTCTTCTGAGTCTGATATCTCTAACCCATGCAGTCTAGCTCCATTAGCAGATTCAAACTATGTGTTAAGTCACAGGTAGCTGTTATTTTTTTAAAATACAGTGTGGAAGTACTCCAGAAGTCCAATTTTCTGAAAACCTTTAAGTATCTAGAATGTGAACCTCCAAAAAGCTTATGAAGTTTGCCATTTAAAAATAGTGGAGGAAAAAAAAAATGAGAGAGATTTCCTTTAAAAAACAAGAACTGTCTGTCAGAAGAGGAAGATGATGAGCCTATTAGTTTCCCTTCGACATCACTCTGATGGCTGTGGCAGCAGCTGGAATACCTGCCTCATATTTCAGTTTCAAATAGCATTCTACCATGAGTCTTTACCACCAGGGATTATATTTACGTTGCTGGAGCAAGTTCTATTTATTCCACACAGCTACATTTCAGTCAGGTTATATTGCTAGCCACATTATGAGAACAACAGTTTCTCTTTTCATGGATGCCTGGAAGATTGTTATTTAAACAAAGGACATTCTTTTTTTCCTCTTCCTCCTCAAAAAATAGTTTCATGGAAATAAAAGGAGAAAAGAAATTGAGCCAAAGCAGCACAATTACATCAGTCTCAGGAAAGTGCTGAGTATTAGATGGAAGTGTGAGCCACTGACAAACCCTCGTGTCTGCTGGAACGACATGAGGAAGGACAGATGTCCCCAGTGGTAATGGTGGCAGAGCTGGAGAGAAGTCAGTGCAAAGTTCCCTTTCTTCCCAAATGGGATTTTGCAAAAAAGAGTGCTCTCTGCTCAGTGCAAATATTCAAAATATTTCTGCCTAGGCTGTCAGCCTGGAGAGGGTATTCTACATACAAGATAGGCATCTTCAGTAATTTTGGTAACCTAGCTTTGATTTTTTCATTCTAGCTGACTTCCACAGTAGAGTTAATTTAATTCCAATGAGTAACAAGTGATTCTTCATTTGCTGGCAAAGGCCCTTTGGTAACAGGAAACAATCACAACTGCTTGCCAGGGTTTACTCAGTTATGATGAATGTCCCGTTCCCAAACCCTATCACAGACTGCTGCCCAGGTTTTGGCTGCATCAGCAGGATTATGTCAGTGATAAGCGTTTACAGGGCAGGAGTTTCATTTCCAGACCAGAATAATATTTTGAAGATTTTTCCACAGAAGGCCATGTAAAAGGCTCTACCAGCCTTCCAAAACAGCCGTGGCTTCCCTGGCACCCTTGAACACAATGCACAATTGCCTTTTTAAAGAGTAATATGCAATTACTTTCCTGCTTATTGGCCCTTCTGCCCGTTAACAAGATGATAGCATCAAAATCGATACCTTACTTTGTCCTTCAGACTCTCAGACTTCCACCTTTCCAGGAACCAATATCATACTCTCAATTACTGCAGCAAACAGCTGAATTAATGGACGTGAGGGGAATAGCATTGCTGCGTCTGGGTTACAGAGATGTCTTTAAGCAATAAGGCACAACAAGATGTACTAACCAGTGAAAATAGGGCAGATCTTTTCCCAGCATGTAATTCCACCTTCGGAGGTATACTGTCCTAGCACCACCTCCAGGAAAAACACGGGAAGACCTCCCCCAAACAGGAAAATGAAATAAGGTATAAGAAATGCACCTGTAGAGAAAAACACGGTGGTACAAAATTGACATGAAGCATGTGGATCTATTCAAGATATGCTAAAATATATTAACAGGCATAGATAGACAAAGGGACATATCTTTACATGTGTATGCAATTATTTCTTGGGGGGTGGGATTTTTGCTCATACTCAAGCTCTGCAAGGGGAACAGGTAGATAAAACTAGAAAGGAATTTCAGAAACTGGAAAGGATTTTCATACCTTTTTGAAAGTAGAAACCTGCAATATCAATGGAGTTAGACACACAACAATCTCACCTAACGAGGAATGCTCTTATTCTGAAATCCAACAGAAACAGTATTTGATATTTTGTTGTTACCATACAGTCGTGCCCTTAACTCGAGTTATTCTGGATTTGCAGTGCATGACTCGGACTACAGAGCTATATTAATGTATCTCACAGTTAAAACTAAGATTCAGCTGTAGCAGAAGCAAAACAGAACAAAAGGTTCAGTAAGAAAAGGTTCGGTAATATTCAAATTTTAAATTCCTGTTGTTTCTCCAAAATTGAGTCTTAACATAAACTATTAAGTAATAAAACAGTGTCTCCTAAATACTGTCAAAAAAAAAAAAAAGAAAGAAAGAAAGAAGAGAGAGAGAGAAAAAACAGATGTCTGATTATCAAGTTTTCTTACTGGACAAAGGCAGTCAGAAATAACCAGCATGAGAGGCAGGCGGACTGACTGAGTCGTGCCAAGGAAATAAGGCAGCACTTACCTCCGCCGTTTTTGTAGCAGAGATACGGGAAACGCCAGACATTGCCTAAACCAATAAATCCACCAGCCACGGACAGCAGAAAGTCAATCTTACTCGCCCACTTCTCCCGCTGGGGCGGCTTCCCTTCTGCCTCGTCCTCAGGCCGAGTGCCCGGGCTCTTGCCGGGGGAAGGTTTCAGGATGTCCTTGTGGAAATCTTTCAAGCACTGCAGCTTCTCCTTCGTTGCCATATTTCTGCTTTCTATATAGGGGGAAAACAAAATCCCTGGGTTTACTAAGCAGTCTTTAGCAGTACAACTCCCCAGCGCTGGACTGTTTAGCCATACTCAACATACGTTGCCATTTGGCAAGCCAAGATATGAACATATAAGCCACCTATCCTGATCAAGATAGACAAACCTTCCCTGGACTTCCCTCCGAGCGCACGGCCAGGGCAGCGTAGGGGAGAGCAAGGATCTGGCCGCTGGGTGCAGCAAGAGGTGCTTAAGATCGTGTCCCGCATCAGCGACTGGTGTCACGGGGCCTCGACTCTGTAACAGGCTCTCTGCTACCCCGGCCAATGTCTCAGGCTGTTTCCATGCCCATAGCAAGGTGCAAATCACTGCATCTTGACTCCTTTGCCAAAGTTTAAGTGAAACACGTCAGAGCAGTAAATCTCACCTTTTTCTGATAAAACCCACTCCTCTGCTTCCCTATGAACCATCCCTGATTCATTTATTGCCCGCAATTTCCTTTCCCTGAAGTATTATAAAGCCTTCAGAAAACTATACACTCATAACTGCAAAGTCATTTGTCCTAATCAGCTTGCACAAACTGAAGGAATCTTTTCAGCTGATTCCATTTCCATAACTACATTGCTTTCCCTTGCCATCAATAAAGGGACAAAAATAAACCCTTATATTCAATTATTGTCTTATACACCTCTATGCAGCTGCAGTTTCCAAGAACGATTGTTCCTTAGTTAATTAAAAATCCAGTGCCATGAGTCACCTGATGCAAAACCAAAAGCAAATTAAACCACACTTGTCTAGATAAATTTATAATGCACAAAAGTCACAGATTGTATAAAATAATAAGAAATTGAGTTACTCTATTTAACAAGTGTCCTTGTATCCAGAATTTCCTAATGGAAACAAATGAGGAACAACTTGTGTTTTTCACTGTTGATCAAAACTCAGGCATATAGGGCAAATCCATTCCCCACATTGTTGAAGTGATTGTAGCTGGATCTGACCAGTTATTTTCACATAGTGTTTTGATGCTGAAAGCATGCAAAATTTTCACCAGAACCAAACAAACCAGCAAGACCACAACCATTCCCTACTCGTATATGTTACAGTGTGTGCGTAGTCATAAAATAAAATCATGCTTCAGATTATCCCCCTTGATAGCTGCAAGCCTCCTACCTGCTTGCTGTGTTTTGATCTCTAACCTGATTTAGCTGTGGTGGTGACCTGAAACCCGAGTTGACATTAGCTCTGCAGGAAGTTTTTAATCCAAACATGCTTCTGAGATAGATACACATCACTGTATCGTAAATCTTTCCATCCACTGCGGAAAGATTCAGAAGGCTGAAATTTCGGCAAACTCCACGCTCGACCCCGTGACACGTTGCTGGCTTTTGCAAAGCAGCTATTGCAACAGCAGTTGCCTACCAGGCTATGATCTGAAAAGGGACTTTACTGTGCACAGCGCTCATCAGGATGACTTTCTGTTGTTTTTCTTTAAAAATGTCACTGCATGGAGGTGATATGAACAGCTGCAATACCTGGGAGTCAACAGCAGAGAGAGCTCCTACAAGGAGAAAGCTGGAGATAGGGTGGTGGAGCATCACTACCCGTTAGAGAGGTATGGGAGAAGGACAGGTATCCTCCTGGCTGCTATTAGAGATGGGGCAGGAGATAACCCAGTGTAGTGACTGAATAACCATGGCAAAGACAGATCTAAAACAGACCTTTGTTGCTTCAGAGAATTAATTCACAATAAGGAAATCAAGTTCCTAATAAGGTGCCTGGATATAGAGGGAGGTGCTTTGGAGAGGGATCTGCAGAAGCTTTAATCTGTTTAGGGTATTAGCATCTCACAGCAGGTCCTTCAAACGGGTACCACCCCCCATCGTCCCCTGGGATCATTTCTTGAGGGGTGAAAGAAGGGAAAAAAAAATAAAAGAAAAGAAAAGCAGAGGGAATTTTTTCTCCCCCCAACCTACAAGGTGACCAATGTCCTCATTGTATCAGCAACGTGGGATGTAAAAAATTTAATTTCAATTTCCTTGGCTATTTGTGCTACTTGTGTCCTTTATCTTGCAGGAGAGTGTCACACACGTCAGGCAACAGGCTATTCTGGGACAGGCATGGAGAGCATTCACCCTGTCTCTTTTGGACACTGCTCGTCACAAAGGTTACTGAAATACTTGTCAGAAGACAGACAAAGGGTGGACAAAAGAGGGCAGAACTCATGTCTAGCAGGTAGGGAAGTCTTTCATTTTTTGGTGGACTCCAGGGGCTGCTGCAACCTGCTTAATAGGGCACAGAGATATATAAACGTATAGATCCCCATAGGATTAAGGTCTGAAATAGGAGCTTAACTACTCCCTGTGATGACTGATACTGGAAATACCCAGGAAAAAAAAACCACTGGGCACCTAGGGAACCTTTATGCCAAAGACTGAGGGGACCTGTGGACCTCAGCACCTCCAAGGTGAAGTGATTCAGGACTGCAATTTTGAGGCATTTATTTCTCTTACAACTGGTGTATATAGGGTGTGTATGTGTGTATATATATACTCTTTCCAGCTCACATCTCACTCTAATCTTCTTGACTGTGGATTTACTTTGACCTAGGCGTTACTCAGTTCTACCCAGAACCTGCAAGCCCAGCCAGTTTACTGCACTCAGTAAATCCTGCCTCTGCTGGGGACGAGCTGATCACCCTGCAGTTTGTCCTAATTACATGCACACACAGTGCTAAATGGTGCCTTTTCAGCTCCCATCTTTGCAGCTGCGTGGGGCTGCATTTTAAAAAGAGAATTCTAATTCAGCCGAAGCCCCCCAAATCAATTAACTACCCGGGGTAATTTCTGTTTCAACCTCAGCTGGAGTGTGAAGCTGGATCTCGATCTCCTCCTTAGCCTGCAAATGGCTCTCAAGGCCACACTTGCTCCTGAGGTGCTAGGAGAGGGACAGTCATGATTTCATGGCAAGTCACCAGCTTTAGCAGAGCAAGGTATGGTACCTACCCGACGCCTGGGCAAAACGTGTGACTCCGTTTTCACTGTGCATCTCCTATCTGGTCTTGCTAAACCCTCGATCGTGTTTTGAGGGCCGGCAGCTGTGGCTGGCAGGCACGTACGGTTGGCCAACACCATAGGAATTGTCGCTAAGCGGCCGCCTGGGACCGTGCTCCTAGCCCGTGTCACGTTCAAGGGATGTAGGACTTATCCCCCTTTGCTGCCAACCATTGGTGTCCACCCAGCCATTACCAATTACAGGAACTGCCTACAAAGGCAGCAAGGGTGGGGGGTACGGGCGATTCTCCTGGGTGAAGAAAAGCCAAGAAAATCAAGTTTGTTTAGTGAAAGGCATTGTCTTTTTCCTTAATGGGGTTGGAGTTTCATTTCCTTCAGTTATGTCCCACTGGGTGAGGTTAAAATGGCTCTTAAGGGAAACAGTCTGACAGAGATGCTGAAACAATATGTTGTCACCGCCCAGGTCAGAACCGGAGAAGAATAGGTTATTTTTACTGTATCACTTAGTGGGGATGGTATCCGAGATCTAAGTCCATCTCATTCCCTCGAGGAAAAATATTGTAAGAAAATGCTGTGACATCCGCTTAGGCCACAGCGATCCAAGCTGCCTCCCCGGGACGCGCGTCTGCTTCCAGCAGACACGTCTGCCCGCGAGAGATCCCCCTCCAGGAAGCTCCGGGTGGCCCTGGGAAGCTCCGGCTTCATCTGACCGACTTCATACGGATATACGGAAGGCAGCGCTGCGGCCTGCCAGGGACAGCACGCGAGCAGCCCGCGTGCGGCCTGCTGGCAACACCCCGACCCGAACGCAGCGGGAGAACGGACCCAGCGGGAACCAGGGCCGCGGTCGGCTCTCACGTATGCTGCTACAATCCCTAATTAACGGAGGCCAAAACTATCGATTGGCAAATCAATGCCAGCAAAATGTGGAAAAAATGTAACACGGGAGCAAACACGGTCCCTCTACGCTGCCCCAGTGCGTGCTCCCCCTTCCCCCCTACAGTCAATAGCTCCTTTATTCCCGCAGAAGAATCCCGTGTCTGTCCCGCTGCCACCTGTCAGTCAGGTGCACCAAATCCCTCCGGAGAAATATCCCCCTGCAAGGATCCCAATGCTCTTGCTGCTCCCCCACGCCTGATTAGCTGAAAATGCCAAAAAAGATTAGCCGTAAGCGGCAGGTTCTGCGGCCAGCCCTGGGCAGCCCCCCAGGCCCTCTCATGCTACAACTGTTGGATCTCTGCACATCCCGCCTGCACCTCGGATAACCCATGCCCTTTGGAAAACACTGGCATTGAGGAGCAAACCTTCAAAACATGCAAAAAATGAGGGGTAAGGGAGGGGAGAGGCATGGGGAAGAGGGATCAACGAGGAGAGAGGGAGATGGAGGAAGACCACGGGGGAACAGCTCATGTTCCAGCTGAACCATGGAGGTTTTTGACAGACATAGGGATTATGCATCTGAAAATACAGTTTGACTTCTCTTCTGGAATTACAGCAACAATAGCCACCATGACTCTTACTGCCTAGTGATAAGTGATCAACGTAGAGTAACACCTTCCACGTGGAGCCTCAAAGACATTCGTCATGTCCTCCTTTACTTCCCTTAAAATTTTTTTTTACAAATCAAGTCCTCAAAACAGAAGTGCACAAAACCCTGATGAATATACAGAAAGCAAAGGCTTCTTATGCACACATATATGCTTTTGTGGGTATTTGTGCATGCTAAAAAAGAAGTCCAAGCTTGCACCTGAAGATCAAGAACCACAGCAAAGAAGTAACTTCTTATTTGGTCAACACTGAATAGAGATTCAACATTCTGAATTTATGACTAGAGCAACACTGGGCCTCATAAACACTGAATAGGGATTCAACATTCTGAATTTATGACTAGAATAACTGAAAAATTATTTTATAGCTTCTTTTTCTCCTAAAAATACAAAAGAGAGTTTCAGAGAGTCTACAACTTTAGAGGAATGCCTGAGGAATGACTGCAT